TCTTTCTTTCTTTCTTTCTTTCTTTCTCCTACAGCCCCCCTAGTAGGCATCACACAATGCAACGGATATGGGAGTAACGGGGATGGGCACGGGAAGCATTCCCAGTTTTAAAATATAGCAATTCAAATACCTCTCAGGCAACTGAGTCCTGCATCCTCATGGAGTACGTCAGCACCCGGGGAGGCCCTGAGGCCGTGGGCTTCGAAGGAGCCCTCTTCTCCGGCTACGCGCCTGACGGCGGCCTCTTCATGCCCAGCACTGTGCCCCGACTCGAGGCGTCCAYGCTCCGGAGCTGGAGCTCCTTCTCCTACCCACGGCTGGTCAAGGAGCTCTGCGCCCTCTTCGTCAGCGCTAAGCTCATCCCCAGGAGCGTGCTGGAGGGTAAACCCCCCGGCTTGGGCCTGCTGCCCTTCTCCCTGCCTGCACCCTCCTCTTCCTCGCACTGCAGCTYGCCATGCGCTTGCCCAGCACCTCTCTCTATCCTCTTCCCTCGCTGTTGGCTTGCAGGGGCTTGGTTCCTCTCCAGGAAATGCAGATCCCAGCAGCAAGCTGTGGTTCTGGGGGATGCAGTAGTGTTTCTGGCCTGGCAGGAGTGATCTGGGAGGTTGCAATAGCGATGCTGGGGTTTGCAGTACGGATTCAAGGGATTGCAGGACTGATTCTGGGGATTGCAGGAGTGAATTGGGGGGGTTGCAATAGTGATTCTGGGATTGCAATCATGATTTGGGGATTACAGCAGTGATTCAGGGGTTTCAATGTTGATTTATGGGGTTGCAATAGTGATTAGGGGTTTGCAATAGAGATTCTGGAGTTGCAAGACTCCTTCTGGGTTTGCAGTTTAGTTCTGGAGTTTGCAACAGGGATTCTAGGGATTGCATTAGTGATTTAGGGATTGCAATAGGGATTCTGGGGTTGCAGTAGTGATTGCTGATGCTGCAGCTCCTCTTACTGCCACACAAAACAGCACAGCCAGGGGTGCTCAGCATATCTGAGTGGAGGTTGCAGCATAAGTGGATTTCTCTGCTCTGTATGACCATTTACCTGCACAAAAGGGCACGAAAAGGGACATTTGCTGCATTGAACATCCTGCATGTTGAAATATCTTGCCTGTTCGAGCTCTCCATCTCCAAAGTGCTGCAGGGTTAAGCCCTGCAAGCAATGACTGTGTGCTGGTGTGGGAACGGAGCTGATGTTACATGGGGTTTTGGCTGTTTGATCCCCTTTCAGTGGTCTGATTTTTAATGTATTCAACATTTAGCAGCTATTCCTTCCACCAGAGGGCAGCTCTAACCTCCAACAATGCCTTAGGATAAAAATCTTTCATTCTTCTCTTTTAACAAAGTTKGTGTAATTGTGTCGGCTTCCCCTTGGGGTTATGTAGCGAAGAGCTGTTGCAGGAATAGGTTGATTTATTCCCGGGTCATATTCACAAATAACTGAGAATAACCTGTTGTATATCTGCCTGTCACCTCTCCAGCAGCAGAGTCTTGGGTTTTGCAGTGCAGCTCCTGGGGGGGACACAAGCAATGGAAACCATAGTCAGAAATGTCCTTCTTGACCTATTTTATCCATCCCTTTTCCCACTCTACCTCCAGACCTGATTGACAGGGCCTTCAGCAGATTCAGACACAAAGATGTGGTCCATCTGACCAGGCTGAAAGATGGGCTGAAYGTTTTGGAGCTCTGGTATGGGGCTACTTACGCATTTAAGGACCTGTCGCTGTCCTGCACAGGGCAGTTTTTGCAGTATTTCCTGGAGAAAAGGCAGAAACACGTCACTATTCTGGTGGGTGAGTATCCCTCTGGGGACAGGTATAACTTCTGGCCTCTGTCCAGGCTGGGAATGGTTTGGGGACAGCGCAGGGGCTGTCTGCTGCCAACCAGGTGCTGGCGTGTCACCAAGTGTCCCTGCATGGAGCAATCTTCAGGATGCAGAGGTGCATTAAGCATATCTGGTATTGAGTACTGGGTATCTCTGCTTCACTGGGAGAGCTGCTGACAGCAGATGCCAGGATGATGCGRTGGTGATATCACCTTCTAGATGGCTGGTGGGACAACTCCGGACTGGATAACACCAGTGTTGGTCTAACCACAAACATCCCAGGGATCATCTTGGGGTCCTCTTTTTTTGTTTAGAGGGAAGTGATGAGGGCTGACACAGTGATGTTGATTTTCACTTGTTCTCCCTTGCTTTGAAATAGGGACTTCAGGGGACACGGGAAGCTCCGCAATTGAGAGTGTGAGAGGCCAGAAGAACCTGGACATCTTTGTTCTGCTGCCCCATGGACTCTGCACCCAGATACAGGAGCTTCAGATGACCACCATCATTGAAGAAAACGTCCACGTCTTTGATGGTTGGCACAGCTGCCTGCTTTAGGGCCATGTTGGGTTGAAAGCATGGCCTTAAAGTCATAGTAGTGGCACAAGCTGCTCCTTTTGTGGCTGGGTTTAATGTTACAGCGGAAATTATTCTAGTCTTGATTTGGATTTTTTGAGACTAAAATATCTRCAGGTGGTAGGGACTGAACATATATCAAAAGCAGAAAATATGCTAGCATTTATGCTGTGCTCCTCAACCTTCAGCTTGCTCAGCCCTGGAGCCAGACCTGCAATTTAGATGATCACTCACTGCAGCGACATCTCAGCCTTGTTTTCAGACCCATTTCTGAACAGAAAACTTTTGTGCCTAAATCACAGAGATCAACAAATCTAATCCATCCTTTCTCCTTTTGACAGCTCACGGGAACAGCGATGAAATCGATGAGCCGATCAAGGAGTTATTTGCTGATACTGATTTTGCCAGAAAGCACAACCTGATGAGCTTGAATTCAGTCAACTGGTCGAGGATTATGGTGCAGATCGCTCACTACTTCTACGCTTACTTCCAGTGTGCACCATCCCTCGATACCAGCCCTCTGCCCGTGGTGGAAGTTGTTGTGCCAACTGGAGGAGGAGGAAATGTCACAGGTGAAGGGGAAAAAATAAGGTCACCTGGGGCTAGAGAGGGAAGAGTGTCCTGTGACCTGTAGACTCAATATACTKTGCGAAAGTTAGGCATTGCTTTATATTAAAATTAAAACACCCACTCTCTATTAGGATTTCTACAGAACCACTTATATTTTATTACTCATTTATGGTTATTACTCATTTAAGTCAGTGATTTGCAAGAGGCTGAAAATCTGAAACCATCCTTTGGCGATGACTGTAGGTCTTCTGAGGATGGGCACGCTGGAAGTGAACAGAATGCATTTGATCCTAAAGAGGGAGAAAATACYGTGGTTCTGATTTCTTAAATGAGACCTTAGCAAGACCGTGGAGTCCTGCCTGGCCCTACGCTCGTTTGCATGTTGGTGCGTGGTAGGAGAAATGCGTATTCCTGACTGCATAGATCCAGCACTTTCAAAGGGAGTCCTTGATTGCCTTCTTCTCRAAATAGCTATAAAACTGTGTTACGAAAGCCATAAATTATTTTATTCACACAAGTACATACCYTGTATTTCCAGACTGCTGATCTGAGGCAGCATTACTAGGCTGCAGGAACCCAAAAGCTTCAACTCTCTCCCCTAAATGTAGGTGACTGACCTCTTGGGTGACTGCCTTCAAGTACAGAGGTCTAACGGCCAGGTTCAGTAGCCGTTTTGGTAGGAGCGTTGTGGTCCAAGATTTTTAATTTCAGGTTCTACAAAAGTATTAAAGATAGGACGCAAGAGCTGTGGTAGAGCATGTCATTTTGGATTGCGCCTAAAATAGGTGCTTAATCAGTACATGAAATGACTTCTTTGCTAAATCTACTTTGAGTGTTTCTTCCTTGAGCAGACTTGTAATTTTTTGCTTGTTTTCTAGCTGGCTGCATTGCCCAGAAAATGGGACTTCCAATCCGACTTGTTGCAGTGGTTAACAGCAATGACATCATTCACAGGGCTGTTCAGCATGGAGATTTCTCACTGTCAGGCAGTGTAAAGGCTACGTTGGCATCAGCCATGGATATCCAGGTATTTAATGAACTGGTCAGAATGTGAAGAGATTGAATATTATACATTTTTATGTTTATTTTTCTTATGTAGTTTCCAGCCTGGTTTATGAGAGCATAATTTAGCAACTGTGGCCGTCTCTTATCAATGCATTCAGAGGTGTGACTCATATTCAGCATTTAAGCTGCAGCCTGCTAAATTATGTTAAATCAAGAACCTTCTTCCTAGCTTTTCAGGGCTTGACTTTGTAATSACCATGGTTAATGGTGGGTTTCTGGGAACTTCTTAAATGTAAGCTTAGAAAGAGATGGAATTTTTCTCAAGGCTTCTATGATACTTTTAGCTCAGGGACTCTGCCAGTGCTTCTGAAAGTCTTCGCCAAGAGAAGAGACCAGGAGGAAGCCCCAAAGAAATGCCTCCTCTATGGCCATCTGCAGTTCACTCAGAGCAAAACATGTCCCGACAGGCAGGCAAAGGCATTAGAAATGAAAAGTCATAGAGAGACAGACAGCAAATGCCTGGAAGTAAACATCTCCCTTGCATACCTATCTTGTGATCCATAGGCATTGGATGTACTTCCAGAAAAATGACCAAGATGTGAAATACTTGGTGTCATATCACTAAAGGCCCTAAGCTACTTTGATTTTCCAAATGCTGTTCAAACACGAATTCCTAGTGCTCCTTATGGACCTAAAGGGATGCCTAGGTTCCTCTGCTATCATGTGTCCCTTCAGCAGTCATGGTCTGGTGAGGTCCATTAGTTACGCCAGGGGTTGAGATGGAGAGTGGAAAAAGCTGGATAAGGTGATATCCAGAGATCTCTGAGGAGCTGGATGGGCATATCCCTCTTTATATTCTCACCATGACTATGTGGAATGTCATGGCTCAGCCCAAGTGTGAAGTGTCCATGCAAACTCTTCAGTAGCTCAGCAGTTCATCTTGGAGTGGACTTCAGGATGTTTCTAATCCATCCTCCTGTTCAAAGCAAGATCATCTATTAGATTGTTCAGGTCAGAYTCAGAATTCAGGTCAGATTGTTCAGGACTTAATCCAGTCAGGCCTTCAAAAACTTCAAGGGTGGAGACTGAGCAACCTCTTCAGATTGTCCCTTTTGCATAATAAATTAGAGAAAAATTCCCATTTAGTAACTATCAGTACAGGTAAAGCAGGAAGTTTCTAGTGTGGGAAACTTTTAAGTTTCCAAAAAGCCTTTTAAGGAGGAATTGCAGTGCAGCACAACTGAGATACACTGTGTCTTCGCAGCAAATGAAGCCCACCAGAGAATGCCCTTGACCCTGAGATGGGGGCAGCACTCATTCCCGCACAGCTTCCTTGGGAACAGTCTCTCCACCCTGAGCTATCCTCCAGGATGGACCCAGACAGTCTCCTGGGCAATCTCAGATGGCATGGAAGGCATGGGATAAAACAGGACTGGAGCTGTAAGACWTCCAGATAAGGATACAGAAGACTGAGCAATTCCTAATGAAACACTGAGTTTGAACAGGACAGAGAGATGAATGATCCCTGTCACTGTCTGCTCTTAAATACAGTAAAGAGCACATCTGAAAACAGCAATAATTGCAATGTGGGAACAACCAAGAAGACACAATGAGGATTTGGTAGCTGGTGTCCACTCTGTCCCTACAAACTGTCCTGGCCAGACCGCCTGGGCACATGTTTTTTACTGCTTTGAAATGAGACTGAGGGGTGTGAAACAGGATTTTCCTTGAAATAAAACCGTTTCCCCTCCTGTAAGTTCTTGTGTTGAGTTTTGCCAAGGTGTGGCAACGCTGATTGCTACATAACATACAGAGCAGTCAGGTTCTATATATGCCTTATATGTTCATAAGAATTATCGGTTGACCCTGCAGGGAGCTGAGTGTTTTATTAAGCCACACAGGAGCGTGATGACTCACAACAGCGTTTGCAACACCAGGTAAACAGCAGGAATATTTCCGGTTCAGAAGTACATCGTGTGTTATTAGCTTGCTTTCCTCAAGGTAATTATACAGCTGTAGTCACACTGCCTATTTACCAGCTGTCCCCTCATTAAGTTTTTCAACCTGGTGGTTGCTCAGAGAGGTTAGAGGACTGAGAGACATCATGTGCCTCCAAGGCTTGAGAGTACATGTGTCCAGGTAGGAGACAAATCCCACCACAACCTCCACCAAGCAAATAGCTGCAATAGGTGCTCAGCTCTGATTAGACATCAGATAAACCACAAAGGTGCCCCCCACCCAGAGAGAAATTCACATTTCTACAGCTCATGTGCTGCCCTGTTATCCTTCCTAGGAGCCGTACAACATGGAGAGAATTCTCTGGCTGCTTTCTGACGGTGACAGCAGCCTCATCAAAATGCTGATGGACCAATTCAACGTGTCCAAAAGCCTCAAGTTGCCGGAGGATTTGCACAGAAAGGTAAGTTCCTTCACACACACACACATATTTTATTTCCAAAATCAAAAATTCAACTTGCAGTGTATCACTTTGGAGAGCTCCCAAACTAAGATGTAAGTGTGTGTTAGAAGAAAAGCCAGAGGAGAGGTTTTATTATCAGCAYGTGTGCAGGGAGATGTTCATTTTTAAATTTTTGTTACTTTTTAAAATAAATCTCTTCTTACAAAATTCATTTTAAAATCTTACAGTTATTTAGGTAGGATATGAAACTGTCCCTTTCTTAGCTCTATGAGGCAGGTGTAGCTGCATTAACGGTGCATTGTGCACCCTGCCTGAGGCTGCTCCTCAAGGGCCGTTTCCTCCCCTTGATGCAGTGGTTGCACTTATTTCCCTAGGTAGTGAGAAGATTGCTCTGCAGCTTCCAGTCACCCTGTTTCTAACTCTCTTTTGCCACCTGTAAACCCTTGCTGGAAGCAACGCGGAGCATTGCACGTGTCCGGGCTCCGTGCTGCAGTGTGCTGCCCGTGGTTCATCCCTGGAGCATCTCAATGCGTTTCCCCTCTGCTCTCCCCAGCTGGCGCAGACGCTGGACTCCTGCACGGCCTCTGACGAGGACATCGTGCGAGCGATGCGGCGCTGCTGGGAGGAGAACCGCTACCTGCTGTGTCCCCACTCCGCTGTAGCCGCTCACTATCACTATGCACAGCTGGGCTGTGGGAATCAGAGGTGAGTGCTCACTCCCATGGAGCTCCCTGCACCAGCGAGTGCAGCTCCAGGCCCATTTCCCTGCAACTATGTCTTGTTTTTCTGCAGCACGCCTCGCTGTTGCTTGGCCCCAGCCTCGGCAGCCAAGTTTCAGGATGCTGTGCTCAGAGCTGGCCTCATTCCTGATGTCCCTCCTGAAATTAGTGCCCTAACCACCCTGGAGACCAGGTCAACGCCCTTGAAGAGGGGAGAAGATTGGGCAAAARTGCTCCGGGAGCACATAGAAGAGTTGGCCCAGCGGAGGAAGTCCTAGGTGGGGTCATGCTCTCCCATGGGCATTTGCACAAAAGTGGTCTGGATTTGTGCTATAAAGGCAAATGCTTCTTGAGGCTTGTTGTCCATGATGAGGATATTCCTCCAAGAGAGAAGCCTAGGCTCTCCACACGATGAGCTAGATAATTATTCCCAGGCACGTGTTGTTTTTCTTTTTTGAATTAAACAGAATATTTTGCAAAATGTGAGGCAAAGCTTTGTAACTTCCTTRTCTTTTTCCTGTAATTTCAATAAAGCCTACTGAAGCTTTCAAGAAACATGCTCGTCCCATGGTTGCTCGCCCATGGATAACTCCTTCAAAATGATGCATGGACATTAGTTGCCTAATTGTATTCCGTATGTCTTSCTTCCTAGGAAACCTACCTACAAGCTTATTCCAGTATTTCAGCAGAGAGCTATAATGGCTTTCCCCTGAGCAGCCACTTGGTGGAAGTAACAAATATGAATTACAGCAATAAAAAGCAGAGTCGATCTGCAGTTATTTGATCATATTTTCACAGTGCTTTTATGGATGGTCACTGTCAGGTGTTCTTCCCTCTTCAGCCCAACTCAGGCATCACTGTTATTTTCAGTGGATGGTAAAATTCGGRCCAGAGGTTCAAACCAAACCGTTCTGAATGGTTTGGCTGAGTGGAGAGCCTAACAACTGGGTGCGAGMAACTCACTTTCAAATGAGGCTTTGCCAAAACAGCAAAACAACAACCAAAACAYGGGGTCGGAGGGTATCAAGGGGCTGCACTGGGAGGATTTTGTGAGCATTGCCAGGAGTTTGGGAAGAGTGTTAGGGACTGGGGATGGTGCATCCAAAAGGGTCTTTTTGGCAACTTCTGGTGTGGGGATGGGTGCGAAACTGGAATCACCGAGGAAGAAATGGAGATCACAGAGCTGGTTTGCAAACTCTTGTAAGTGATGTGATAGTCTTGGGTCATCCCATGTTCCACAGCCCAGCAGGATATGCACTGGGAAATGTGTCTCTGTGCAATACCCACTAACACATCTGATTGACAGAGCTTTTTTTTTTTTTAAAAAAACCATTTATTTAACACCAGTGCAACATTATTTCCATGGTACCTTAACTGCAGTTGCTCGGGCTGGGGTAGAAGGCTGCTGACCCAAACTCACTATGGCTTAAACTCACAATAAAACCAAACAGGACGGGCATAGGGAAAAGTGATGGTGCAGGTTATCCCCTGCAGGGACTGTCCACTAGCTGAGATGTAGCCGTAATGTCCACCCTGGGGAATTGCTGCATTATTGGGCAGCAGAAATGGAACCAACTTGAAGCTGGGCTCTCCTTGGGGCCAGCGGTGCCGAGGTCAACTCCCATGGCTGTAGGTGCTTCCCGGCCCCATAGCTTACACCCTCAGKCCGAAGCCTGTAGCAGGCACTTTGTGGGCAACTTCCACCGAAACAAATAGGAAATGGGAAATTCCCCTTATCTGAAACTGAAAACTGAAACTTCAGGTCTCTCAATACCGTGTTCCCATCATATACATATAAATATATAAATACCTCATGAGGGAGCTGCCTCCACAAGTCGTGCAGCTGGCAGAAGTATCTTGTACCAAAAAAGGAAAAAAAAAAAAAAAAAGGAATAATTACATTGGGGGGAGGGAAAATCCCCTTTTGCCATTAAAAAATTATATATATAAAAAAAATCCCCTTTGACATCAAAGGAAGTCCCATAATGGGAGCATTAATTTGAAGGGTTAGTGGCATTCAGCAGGGTAAAAGTAAACTCTGTGGGTTGAATCAGCATGGGATTTTTTGGGGTTGTGCGGGAAGACAGGGGAAACTCTGCCTGGGTTAGAGTTTTCTTCCGGGCACCTTGGCAGACTTGGCATGACTCTTAGCATGACTCTTGGCATGACTCTTAAGCAGCCTTGTCCCAGGGAATARCGTTCCTCCTCCCCTAGGAAAGGGTTTTGAGCTGGGGGCTATGTGCCCAGCTGCTGCTAATGCCCGTGGGCAGCCCCCAGGTGCACCAGCCACATCCTCCTCCTGCTCGCGCACATGTTGCACGCTCTGGGCTCCGCTGCCCATCCAAATCTTGCAGTTCTCCCAAGGGATGGTTGCCTGGGTGCAATTGAACCCTTGGATGCAATCTTCACCCAAGACATACTGTGAAGGGGGAGAGGCTGGAAGGGCCCCATGGATAGTAGAGAYGGAGGATGGGAGGCCAGGAGAAGCTGCCCAGATGTCTTTAGGGGTTGCAGAGAGGTTTGGCTCCTGCAGAGGGCAATGCTCGGTCGCCTTTGGCTTGTCCTGGCATGGTGCTGCCCTCGTTTTGCTTCTGATCAGACCAYAGTCCATCCCCTGGCATCTCTGCAGGGGCAAATCTCCAGCATGCTCTGGCTCCCATTCCCAGAGGACCTTGCTCCCACCTCAGGATCCCCCATCAGAGCAACTTCAGCTTCAGTTTGATGGTGCAAAACGCCTGGAGAAGACTCATGCAGAAAGCCCATGCGCTCAGGGATGCCTCCTTGGCCAACAGAGTAAAGGGCTCTGGCGGCTGGATGCACTCCCAGGGCTAACGAAATATCACTTCTGGGCTGTTCACAAGCTCAGGCTGGACTTGTCCAGTAATTTTGTCCAGGGAGAAAAGAAGTGGGAGGGAAGTGGTGCTCACGCGCAGCTGGAGGGCAAAGCTACGTCAGCACTTCTTCATCCTGTACCTCAACGGCTCCTGTTTTTCCCCAGCAAGGGGAAGAAAAGGGTTCATCCCAAAAGGATYTGAGCCATTTGTCCCAGGCAACAGCGATGACCTGAAGCTGTAGTTKTCCCCAACAGAGACCCTACATCTCACCACCTTTGCCTGGCCAAAGCAGAGATGGGACGCACTCGCTGSATGGCTTCTGGCCTGTCCCTTCTTCTTGCTTTCTTGCCAGCGTGGGGAGAGCAAGAACTCGTGGGAAAACACACCGCACGGACAGGGCAACGGGCTCACCTGGGGCTCAACACAGGTTCCTACCAGTAAGGTGACTCAGACCAGCGCGATTAAGAGGACTCGGCCTCCTGGGGCTGATGGTTGACTTGGCACTGGGATGGGGACACTCATCCCGAAGCATGTTGGGATCCATCCCATGAAGYCTAGGTCAAATGGGTTGACGTGGCGGGACCCTCAGGGACCACTCATGGTGGCACTGACTTCAATGTTGCCTCTGGAAACCGGAAAGGAGGAGTCCGCAGCGAATTATAAGCCAATTCCTTAAAAATACTGTTCTGGAGGTCTGAGAGTTGAATTATTATTTAAAATTCCCTGGGGGTGCTATGTAATTTATGGACAGGTATGAAGACAAGTAGGCGCTGAGACATGGGGATGAGCCCAATGTAAATGCCGAGATAGATGGATAGAAGAAGATAAGTTTCTTGGCCAGGAGAGTGAGAGATGGAAGGGCCTAATCCTATAGATCTTTGCTGTCCTAGTATGATACCTAGTATCCCCATCCTCCTGCTCTGTAAAAAGTCATCTTCAATCTGGTGCAAAACACTTGTTTACTCCTTTTTTTTTAATTTATTTTTTTTAAATTAATTTATCCCGAGTGTAAAAAAAAAAAAAAAAAAAGGGAAAAAAGTTGCTTTGTTGTTGCAATTTGCTGCTAGGCATTCCTATGTGTGCTAATGATAAGTATTAATTAAATAGCTTGCTGTTGTCTTTTAAATGCAGTTCTTTCAGGCTGTAATTAAGCACAGACACCCAACCCTTTCTGTCTGCATAGAGAGAGGGAGGCAGGCAGGCCTCTGGAGCCCTGCACTGCTTCCCTTTCAGCAGGAGAGCAGTGGAAAATGAGGCAAAACCAGTTTCCACTGAAAACTCACCGCACTCTGCGTGTCCTTCTTGGGATAAGCAACCAGGTAAAGGAAATTAAAGGAATACGACTTCCAAGATACCAACCCTGCAATCAAAGGAAGTTTAAATGCCCTCAAGATTTTTGCAGCTTCATACATTTTAAAGGCAGAAGAAATCACTTTGTTTGATCTCCCAATACCACGCAGGCTACTGAATATCTCTCTTCCGTGCTCATCACGCCCAGCAGCCTGTTGGCTTGTGAACATCCTCATTGGATGAGATCCAGAGGCAAAGTCCGAAAGATCTTCAAATATGACCCCGAATTCTTAAAATATGACCTTAGCAAAAAGTGTTCTAGAAGTGCAGATAAAATTATGGATGCTCCCATGACAGATGACAAATCCCCCAATGCAGTTTGCTCTATATGTCCATAATGTTCAACCGTCTCTACACCCGGCCCTCAAAAGCAAGGAGAGTAATTTATCTAAAGGGCTGCTGCTGATGAATAAGTACATGCACATGCTCTTGCATTGAGCATCTGACTGCAGTGTTAGAAGAGAAGGACACTGGCTTGCTTGCAAGGAAAGACATCGCTGCCTTGGAGGACCCACCAGTTGGCATGAGGCATGGCAGAAGACACTCTTCTCTTTCCTAGCTGCTATGGGGAAGCGTGTGCACATGTGGAGAGACAGAGGTAGAAAAGAGAGCTCCAAGAGCCTCAAATTAACACTTGCCAATCACCCAAAATCCACGTGGGCAACCGGTCGTCATCTCTGTTCCTCATATGGGCAGCCAGGCAGACAGCAACAGTGAGGAGCTTTGCTGTGGGGATGTTTGAATGGCATTCCACAGCTATAAAAATATATTTATTTGAACGGAAACATTAAATATTGCAATCACGTATTCACACTCACAGAATCACAGAATGGTTGAGTTTGGAATCTGCACCTTTAGAGATGATCTAGTCCAATCCCCTGCTCCAGCAGGGACACCCAGAGCACGGGACACAGGGTGGCATCCATGAGGATTTGGAAGACCTCCGGAGAGGGAGTCTCCACAGCCTCCCTGGGCAGCCTGTGCCAGGGCTCTGTCATCCTCACAGGAAAGAAGTTCTTCCTCACATGGAGATGGAACTGCCTGTGTTTCAACTTGTACCCATTGCCCTTTGTCCTGTCACTGGCCACCACCGAGAAGAGCTTGGCCCCTTCCTCCCTACATTCTCCCCTCAGGTACTTACTAATCAGATCCCCTCTCAACCTTCTCTTCTCCAGGTTAAACAGGCCCAGTTCACTTAGTTTCTCCTCATATGATAGATGCTCCAATCCCTTAATTATCCTTGTTGCTTTCTGTTGGACCCTCTCTAGAAGCTCCACATCCCTCTTGTCCTGGGGAGCCCAGAACTGCCCCCCATACTCCAGTTGTGACCTCACCAGAGCTGAGTAGAGTGGGAGGATCCCCTCCCTCGACTGCTGGCAATACTAACTCAAATTCTAGCCCAAGATCTGCAGAGTGGGTATAGCAAAGACCATTAAATAGCTGGGATGGGATGCATTGCAAGGAGGTCCCAGCACTTGGCAGTGCAGCTCTTGCATGCCCCAA